GGAGTATTGTTTCATTATCAGAATGTTTAGCACTCGTGTTGCTAAATATTTAGCACCTGATATTTTGCAAAACAATTCCCATGCCTTTTTTGTCATCAGTCTTCTGCTCTCCTCCAGTGCCCAACAGTAACGGAGGCAACAGTGAGGATGGGATCTCAAAACAGTAAATCAGCATGATTATTTACTAATTTGTCTTGTTAAGTCTTCAGGTGTTTCCCCAAACAGTCTATCCGCTTTCTTTAGTCCGTGTCGGAAAATAAAATTGTCTCCTGCTTTTGAATGCTGAGCATTGGTTTCAGAGTCCGGCAAGGAGGCATGGGGATGACACGGACTGACCTGTCACTACCACCTAACAAACGGCTGCCTCACCAGGCAGCAGGAATTACTGAAAAGGAAGAAGACCCTATGGGGCACTCATTCACCCCTTCTAAACACCATGGCAAGGGTTTCTCAGACCTCAGAGAGTTTGCCACAACAACTAAGAAAGCGAAGTGAAGGAAGGGCTGGAAAACATCACTGAAAATTAGAACAAATCTCAGTTACTGCCTAACCTGGGTCTCGGGAGCTTTTCTGCCATTACCCAGCAGGAGCCCAGCCAGACTCATAAACAGAAATCAGCTGTGAAGTGTACCCAGTTGTTTTTGTGTTTTCTTCCCTAATAAAGTTAGGAAAATGTCTTCTTGCCTTTGAGCCTGCAAGCTTTGTAACCCTATAGGTTAGGGTTTCCAAATCCCAAACTTCTGGTCACCTCATGCTCCACTGGGCTTGGGAACCCCTGGCCCCTCTGGTTACTAAACCATCCATGGTAAATCAGGGAGAAAATTAATATACGGCCATAACAAGTTCGACTAATCGCCCAAAAGGCTCCCTCAAGGCTCAGTAGGATGCCGTCTGTGCGAGAAGTAAACAGAAGTCTGAGGTAAGGGTGTGCAAGAGTGGGAGAAATCCAAAGTGGGTTTGCATTACCAGAGAGTGGCAAGGTCCCTGAGGGACTCAGTCACCCTGGGGGTCCTCTGGTGTGTGTGGTGGCATGGGAATACGCACTGGTCTTTGGGGTTCTCTGCACTGGGACAGGTGTGGGCATAATCAAAGAGTCACAGCACACAGGAAATTCTCCAAAACCTCCCAATAGCTTTCCTCACCAAACCTAATGGGAGTGCCCCTTTCCTGACTCCTAAGCCCTGGAGCGCCACCTACTGGGAGAGGCAGAAAGCACATCCACTTTAGGTCTTCCTGAGTCTGCATTCATTCGTTCAGGCGGGCAGGCATTCATTCATACAGTCATGTATTAGGGGCCTGGAATGAGCAGGAACCAGTGCTAGAAGTGAGGACACAAAGATCAGCAGGGCTTCGAAATCCTCATTCAGCGTGCTTCAGTATAAGTCCAAGGTCTTATATACATAGAAGAACCCACCTAGGGCAGTTTTAAGTCAAAGAAAAAATTGCAGTAAGAGTTCAAGTCATCACCAAGACTCTGAGAGATGGTTGAAGGGGCTAATGGCTCACCATTTCATTTGCAAACTACTATACCTAGAACATCTACCAGTAGAGAACAATTGTCCACTTCACATGAGGTAGAAATGTCCAAACAGTTTCAGGGGACTGCATTACCAATATTCCTCTCCACAACTTGCTGAGTCCCCAAAGTGCATTAATCTTTTATGTAATCTAAAATATATTTTCCTTATTCAGTGTGTGTGTGTGTGTGTGTGCACATGTGCACAGACTTAAATACTTTTAGTGTGTGCTCTACAGAAATAATGAATAATTGGTTCTTGTAATATAGTCTATTATGTATTATTCTGATACACTGTAAAGTATCAGAGCAATACTAGGAATGATATTTAAAGCCTCAAAAGCCCTTTTCCTCCAGTTTCCTCCATGCAGTATCCAGGAAAAGAGAAGCTAATGCCACATTTTCTAAAGCCTGCACAAGCTGAGTGCAAGTGACACTGTTCTATGACCATTTGTAAAGAGAGTTAACTGTGATCACTATTATTATTACTTTATTATGATGATTCCTATTCTGCTGTATTGCTAAGTAGTTAAAAGAAAAGCACAGTGTGTCTTCCACTCCCAGAACACATGTTTCTCCCCTCTGCCTTGTCTCCAGCAGATAAGGGACATTCTGATGTTTTATTTGCTAAATCGTTGACTATTAAGAAACTCATTTGCTAGCTGGAGCCTGCAATGGAAAATCAGCCCAGAAAAGTAGGAGGTTGGCGTGGGACCAGAGCAGATAGGGCACTAGAGGTAAGACAAGGCCCACATGAGCCACTCCCAGCCTGAAACCCAGGGTCAAAAGCCAGTCCTTCAGTGAACCTTCAGACTATTCCAGTGCACTGATCACTGGTCTCCATACCCCAACCCTCAACACACACACACACACACACACACACACACATACCACCACCACCACCACCACCACCACCACCACAAAGCTGGGGAGAAAGGGCCAATGCATTCAGTGCCTTCAAATCTGTCAGGAAGAGAAGAATGTAAAGCCCTGCACTGGCAACTTTTTCGGTTCTCCACTCTTTGGTTTGTCACCATCACTGATCTGAGGTAATCATTTGGCTTCTCTTCTCTCTCTCTCTCCTGAAACTCTAACCCCCAATTACGTTTCATCACCCCTTCGGTTATTAAACCACAGCAACCCCTTCCTTGTAAATATTCGTGCTTTTCCAGGTCTGCCTTCCATACCTACATCACCCTCTTTCTCTCCTCCCTGAAAAAAACCCTGGGCAATGCCAGTGACCGAGGACAGGGGAATGGGCAATGGAGGGGAGACAGGGATCCTGGTGCTCTTTCACCTGAGCACCGCATCCAGGAATGGAGGCAAAATTGCTCCTGTGAATTATATAATCACTGCAGCTTCAAGGGAGAGAACTGGAATTCAGGTTGCCATAGTGTTTGTTGGCATGTTGCTGGAAAGGCAGAGCTCCTGGCCACGGCTCACTCGCTCCTGTCCCTCCATCTTTCTCACAAACCTCTCCAGGGTCAGTGTTCCTACTTTTAACGTCTGCTCCCTGCATTTCTGTGGGGCGGGGGGGGGGGTGGAATGACGGGGGACAAAGGGGCAAAAAAAAGGAAAGGGGCTAAGAGGGGTTTCTCCCACACTAAGAGGGGACCTGGTAAACTACTGAAGATTATCCTTATGTGAATAATAATTCTTGCCACGGCATACTGCCATTGTTAGTGACAGTAAGGACAATACTACTGAGCTCTCCTCTTCGAGGCTGCTCAGGCTGAGTTGAGAACCTGGAGGGGAGACATCCATCCCCACTCTTCACAAATATCACCCTTTCCTTTGTGTCTCTCATCCTCAACCTCCTAATGCATCCACTGCTCCATCTGCTAGGAAGGGGACTGGAGGAACAGGTGACAGATGGGGTCATGGCATAGAGAAATCCAGGGACAGAAGCTGCCCTTATGACAAAGCCCTGGCTCACCCTAGAACCCATGGCCCTTGACAAAATTCTCTCTACCGAGGGGTCAAAATCCCCACACTGCCACCCCAGCTGGAAAGCAGAGGGACAGCTTTCAAATCAGTTTCAGGATGGACAGAGACCAGGCAGGTAGCTCTAAAGGACAGGGGATCTGTCCCCAAATGGTGGAGATGGGGGCAGAAGGAGGAGGAGGCTGGAAAGAAGAGACAAGGAGGCAACCCCTCCACCAGGCTGGGGTCCTCAGAGAATCACTTAAAGTACCCCACGAAGTAACAGCACTAACAGCGACAGGTATTCAGGAGGACGCAATTGAAAGGGAGTGTAAACAGGGAGGCTTGGGAAACTGGGAGAGAAAAAGGGAAGACTACACCCAAAAGAGGCAGAGAAAGCCATGGAGACAAGACAGAGATGAAGCTGGAGGCTGCCACACTCCAGCAAGACCATCCCTCCACACTCCATCATAACCTGAGCTGCTGAGCAGTGCCAAGACATAATAACTTGTTAATATGGGGGGAGGGGGGAGGGAGAAAGTTTCCAAGAAGTGGGGAGTTACCTGAAAGCCTTTCCCCCTCACTGGGGGGAGCTGGTGACACTTGATGCCCAGGATGGAGATGCTGGGAAAAAACTGGGCAACAGTGTGGAGCCGTGTGAGCTCGGCACACCCTTTCATCATTTCCTTAAAACATGAAAAAGCAAAGCCCACACACCGCCCGAATTCTAACTGCTTACATCCTCAGGTGCTAGCCCACATGTGGGTGCGAATCAGAATACACGGGGCGTGGGTGCACCCGGGGTCAATGGCAGTAGAGAGGTGGGTGGGTGTAGGTGAGCCGAGGGAGACAGGGAGACCCGGGGAAAGACGGAGAGAGAGAGGAGAAAAGGAGCCGGGAGAGAGGAAGAGAGAGAGGGAGCGAGGGAGACGGGGAAAGAGGGAGAGAGAGGCGCCGAGACTCACATCTGCATCCCAGGCCCCCCCACCCGCCACCTGGAGCGCGCTGCCGGGGAAAACGGGCGCCCGGCAGCGAGCGGGATGCCCGGCGGCGGCCCGGGGCGCGAGGCCGACCTGGGGCGGGGTGCGCGCGCGCGCTCCCAGCCGCGCCCGGGGCGAGGCGACGGACCCCAGCCCGCAGGGCTCGGCGGCGCCGTCGCCCCCTCCCCCCACAACCCCCCGCGCCGCTGGCCGGGCAGTTGGGCTTTCCAGGCAAACGCGAGAAAGCGAGGCAGAGCAGACACTTGGGGAACTTTTCCCCCTCGCCTGGAAATTCATAGGAAACACATGCTCTGGAGAAGCCGGGCACGGGGAGGGGGAGGGGCGGGAATTTTCCGCTCCGGCTCGCGGGCGGCTCCGGCCCGGGTCCCGTCGGGCTCCCGGCCGCTTGGGCGAGACGGAAGCGCCCCGCCGCCGGGCGCCCCTCGCGGACGCAGCCCGGGGCAACTCCGCAGGGACCGGCCCGGGGGCCGCGGGGAGCGCGCGGGGGAGACCGGGAGAGGGGTGGAGAGGGCGGGGAGACCGGGCTGGAGCCCCCGCGAGGCGGCGGGGTCCAGCCTTACCTTGATGGTTTTCCTCTGGAATGTACATCCTCGTGTTCTCATTGACCATTGACCAAAAATTGTTTTAAAAGGAGAAGCCACGAAGAGGAAGAAATGGCAAAACACCCCCAAGCGGGTCTGGATTAATCCCTCCTCCGAGGTCGGCTTTCGTGCAAAATTCAAGGAAGCCGTGGATCTGCAGTATTTCTTCTTCCCTTCTGATGATTACCTGATTCCCATTATTGCATCAAACACCAAAAACTGCTCCTTTCCACTACTGCCTCCTTTTGTGAAATTGTAATGCATCCTCAGTACATCCGGGCCCCTTCCAAGAATTTAGCACCGCACCTCTGGCGGCTACACCATTTGAAAAAATAAATCGAGAGAGGCAGAGCGAGAAGAGGCGGAAAGGAGGGGAGTGGGGGAGCGTCGGACCCCCGGACGGGGGGAGAGGGGTCCGCCCGGGCCAGCAGAGGGGCTGAAACGTCTCTGCCCGCTCGTGGCCAGTCCTCCCCGAGGCCCCTGTCGGCTTTTCTCTGTCAAAAAGATCCAGCAACTCCTGAGGGCGAGCAGGCAGGAAGAGGCGCCGCCGCCGCTCCGGGCCGCGCCGCGCCGAGCGCCGTTCTGGCAGGGAGCTGTTTCTGCAGAGGCAGGGAGAGGGAGACACCGGGCGCGCGAGAGAGCGCCGCGCTCACTGCCGCCCAGCCCAGCCCCGCCGCGCCGCGCCGCGCCCGCGCCCTCCCCTGCCCGCGCCCGCCCGGCGCGCTGGAGGCAGACGCGCTGAACGCTTCCAGATGTGGCGGTGGCGGCGGCGGCGGCGCGCGGGGAGCCGGGCGCACGGCGCAGGGCGCACGGCGCGGACTTGAGCCCGAAGTTGAGCACCCGCTCGGGCCCTCGGCCGCGCCAGCCAGCCAGCCTGCTGCCCACATGACGTCAAGGGGAGCGAGGCGAGGCGGCGGGCCGGCCGAGGGGCGGGGGTGAGGGGGCCGCGCCGGGCGCCCCCGGAGGAGGGCGGGGGGCGCGGGCAGGCCGGGGCGCGGACACACCCCCTCGCGCCCGGCCGCCGGCGCCGCGGCCCCCTCCCCACCCCGCCGGCCCCCGGCCCTCCGCCCTAGTAATCCTGGGCGGCCCCCGCGCGTCCCTGCGCGGCCGACCACGTCGGGAAGGCCTCTGTGAGCGGAATTCCAAGAGGGGGGGATACAATCTGCCCAACTACCAGAGTCTCTTTGCAGATCGGGCCACCGAACAAAACAGCAAAATGAGCCGTGATTCCGTGATTCTGTTTGATCAATTATAATCAGAGCGGTTGTAGAAGTGACATGTAGAGGCGAGGATGGGAAGAGGGGAGGGGAGAGAGAGAGAGAGAGAAAGGGCTGGAGAGGCGGGGCCTCGTAGGCTAGGCGGTGGTGCCCAGATGTCTGAACAGATTAATAGACCCCGGTTTTCTAATTCCTTGGAGGCAGCCGAGCACGTGTGCTACTAGGATATCCTTACCTACTTCTCTTAATTATTTCTGCCACTCCCGAAGGAATGTGTTGAGCCCCTCTCCTTCCCGGAAAAGCAAACATTTCTCTCCATCACTCCGCAACCACAGCGAGTTCCAGGGCACCCCCTGCAGGCCCGGGCTGCTCTAGAGTGGGCCTTCGTCAGCCCTCGCCAGGGAGCCTACAGCTTCCTGGGGGAGGACCTGTACCTTCCTGCCCTCAGACCACCTCGCCTCGCATCCACACTTCTTCCTTGGGTGATCCCATCTGTCCCCGTGCCTTCAAGCAACTGTCTATATCAAATTTGTATCTCCTGCACAGACCTCCCTTCCTGAGTGCCAGGTTACACAGCCAACCTCAGTCTCCACTTGGCAATCTGATAGCGTCTCAAACGTGACATATCCAAACACTGAATTCCTTATGTTCTGTGCAAAACCTGCTCCTCGCAGAGCCTTTCCCATCTTGGTTGATGGGGCCAAACATCTGGAGTCATTCTTGACATCCCTTTGGTTCTACCTTCAGATAGGTCCAGAATGTGTCCACATCTCAGTTTCTCCCCTGTTGCCCCCTACCCCCCAGGTCTGAGCCAACATCATCCTTCACCTGAGTTTCTGCAGTAGCTGATCTTGCTGGTGTGCCTTCCTCTCCCCACCTTTGGTATATTCCTGATAATAGTAGTCACAGTGATCCATTTAAAACGTCACATCGCTACACTCCTCTGCTCAAAACCCTCCAGAGGTTCCCATTTCACTCAGTAAAAGCCAAGGTCCTTAGAGTCGCCTACAAGGACCCACATGCACAGCAGTGTGCACCTTTCATCTCCTACTGCTCTCCCAGCCATAACGGCCTGCTTGGTATTCCCCAAGCACTGCAGGAATGATCTCTCCCACACCTCCTTCCTCCTGCCCCCTGCCCCTGTGTCTTCTCTCTCTCTCTCTCTCTCTCTCTCACACACACACACACACACATACACACACCCTGAGCCCTTTGCTCAAGCTGCCCCACAGAGGAACACTCTTTCCTCAGATGTCCTCTTGGTGAACTCCCTCACTTCCTTCAAGACTTTGGGGAAATGTCACTTTCTCAATGAGGCTCATCCTAAACACCATATTTAATACTGCAACCTGCCCAACACCTCCCCCCACTGCTACTCTCCCCCTTTCTCTACTTTTTCCATGGTATTTAATCCGTATCTAACATACTGTATAGCCTACTTATTCATTAATTGTATTGTTCATTGTCTGTATGCCCCACTAAAATGTGAAACCCATGAGGACAGGGATCTTTGTCTGTTCTGTTCACCATTGTATCTCAAGTGCATACAACAATGTCTGGCGGACAACGGTTTCTTAATAAATAGGTGTTGAATGAATGAATGAATGAATGAGTATGTGAGATGGTTTAGCAGTGCTACAATTCACTGCATCAGAATGCCTCCCTCTGTCCCCTGCTTGATAGCTGAAATCTCTCCACTCCAGCTTCGATCCTCTGGCCAAGGTTTTTGGCCTCGGTGGAAAACGCAAATGCTCCTGAGAAAGGCGTTAAGCTTTATCAGTCATCTTCATCCTACTGTGAACAGTCTAGATTATACAAGTGCCTACCTTTAGAAAAGCAGTCTAGATTTAGAAGCAGTCTAGATTTTGTTGGTTACAAGATAAATCTGACTTATTTACCGTTCTGGTGTTTTCATATTCAATTTTCAGTCTAATAGAAAAAATTAGAAATGACACAAATCCAAATATCTCTTTTGTTTAGCTTTCGGATGCATTATAGTCCTATGTTTCAGAGGCCTACGTACCTGGTTATTTGTTTAATACTGAAATTGGTTTGTATCCCCTATACACACTATATTACAGACATAATAATAGCTAACACCACTGAGCAATGTGTACTGTGCTACAGTGTACTGTGGTAAGGCTTCACAGGCCTTACTCAGGTAATCCTCATTGCAGCCCCATTAAGTAGCTGTTATTATTAGCATCCCCATTTTATAGATGTGGAAACTGAGACTTAGAGACTTAAGTTAGATGTCCAGGGTCACCCAGCAGGAAAACTGTGGAGCCTGGGTTTAGCCCAGGAGTGTCTGACTCCAAACATCCACTCTTGCACCAGGTGATGTATGGAAGTGTTGAAAGACTGTATTGTACACCTGAAACTAATATTACACTGTATGTTAACTAGCTGGAATTAAAATTTAAAAAAAGATTAAATTTCAAAAAATTCAAATACTCCTGTTTGAGGGTGATCTGGGGTGGGTAGAAGGATGAAGAGTTTAAAATGACAGTAAAAATGCCTGCAAAATGTGCTTCAGAGAATTCAGATAACAGAACAGAGTGTATGTGTGTTGGGGGGGGCACATGCTGGATTTATAGCCAGGCTTTTCTAAAGGTAGGCACTGTATAAATCTAGCAAGTAAATATTACCTTCATGCTTCTTTAGTTTCATTTTTCACTTCTCTTTTCAGCTGTGAAATGTGTTCTTTCCTTTCCAGAAAAAGGTATTTCCTAAATATTTGGCCTTGCACTATACACCCATATCTCGGCTCCCAACTTTGAAACATGCCCTTGGTGCTCTCTTTGGAGGTAACAAATTCTCAACATGACAAACAGAAACCATTCTGAATTCTGATTTGGGGATTTGGGAGGCGGTGGGAGCAGCAGATGAAGTCTTTCTTTCTCTTTGATTGCATGATCTGATTCTCCAACAAAAGGTGCTCTCCTCTCCCAAAGTTCTTCATTTGTGCCACTCTGTCTATGTGCTGGTATGTTTCTACATAGCATTATATTTGTATATGAATGTGCCTTGCTCTAACCCCCACTACCTTTTAAAAGTCTTAAGGAAGAGAACTGTGTTCATTTATCTTTGTTATAGCATAACGCTTTGTACATATGGACACTCAATGTACATTGAGTGTGTTGATTCACTCTGGAAAAGATTTCCCTAATGTGACCACAAATATTTCCTTTGGAAGGAATTCAGAGTGCACTAAATTTGTTAATTGTGGTGTATATGTAAAAGTGAAAAGCTTGGAAACAATCTAAATATTCCATTGAAAAAGTTGGTTAAATAATATCATTGGGAGGTTATCCTCATATACAAAGTCATCTTTTCTTCAGAACAACCCTATAAGGGAAGCCCTATTAGCCCCATTTCACAGGTGAGGAAACTAAGAGTACAGAGGGCTAACTCACTTGCCCGTTTTGACACTAGTAAAGGTTGGAAGACTTGGGATTTGAACCCCAGCAGTCTGTCTTCAGAGTCTATGCTATTAACCACTTTATAGATAAACTAGGTACATTCATGCCATGAAATCCTTACACAGATGTGAATAATATTAAGGAATAATGCTAGTGACATGGAAAAAGACTATTTACACTAAAAGAAAAACAGGTTACAAAATATCATGGATGCTATGATTCCATTTTTCTTTTAAAGACAGGTGTATATTTGAACTAGGAAAAAGACAACACAGGATTCACACCAAAATGTTGACAAAAGCTTTCTTTGGGAGGTAGGATCATAGGTAAATTTCTCTTTTTTTCTGTCTGACCCAAGGCTTCAAAAGCCAGGTTGCCAGGGGAGAGGT